ACTGGAAAACAAGTCAAATATTTCTGGACAGACAGATTCTGTGTCTGTTCAATCTGTCTCCATAAAGTTCCATTGCCTTTTTTTTCCATTGCACTTATTCTTTGAATTTTTAATACTTGCAGGGTTCAAGGTAGCTTAGTGTAATTTTCAAAAAAGCCATTTGCTGTACATGAAAATTCCATCCAATGTATATTTTGTGTTTCTGAAATTTCTTTACTGAATGGATTGTAAAGCTTGTAACTACAATGCTATGCAGGAGCAGGTTAGCATGGAAAAATGTATTTTTAATTTAAGTGACTCTGGTCTTAAGAAGATGAAGCAAATCGCCTTATCTCATTGATCTTTAAGAGACTGAGGAGAATTTGGACCTGACAGCCATTCAGTGGCTTAGGTAAATGAGTCTTGGTGGTCCTACTCCGAGGTTTCAGTGAGAAGGGGTCCCTATCAATAAACCCACTGCCACGATTGCCATTAATTGGTAAGTAAATTAGCAGTGTCAGCTGAAAGAGACCAAGAGGGTCAAGAGTGTAGGCAATGAGGAGGTCTGTGTTGGGCATAATGCTCAAGGGAGTCTCGGATTGAGATGAATTAGCAGGACAGTGGAGGAATTCCATTCTCACTTCTGTGGTAAAATTGTCTTACACCTTAATTAACGCTGAAACACGCTGCCATAGAGCAGAAATAATTACTGCCCTTTTCCTGTATTTATACATACAGTGTCCAAGACATTGAAACAGTGTCAACCCATGTGAAAATAATAATAAAGCTTTGCCGTCTTTATGTCTTGAAGTGTATTTTTGTATTTGCATTATTTATTGTAGTCCTTAGGAAATGTTAAGGTGTTATACCCAGTTCTACTAAATGACGTTGTCAATTTCTAAGAAATAGTAATAATATGTAAAATGCCCTGGTTCTTGTGACAGCTTGTGGTAGCACCTCATCCGGAATACTCATCCTGACCACTTAAAATTATGTTTTTAAATCTTGCTCCAAAACGTTTATGTTTTTGATGTATTTGAATTCTGTTTATGGCCCATTTTTTGTATAATTAATGTAAAGTGCTTTGTTGAGAACGCTCTGGATTGAAAGGCACTGTATAAGAATAACATTGATGGATTAATATCATGGAAAGTTTCAATGTCAAGACCAGAAGCAGTATAAATAGATGTGAAGAGTACTGGGGGGACTGATCTTGATAGATACAGATAAGCACTATTAACACACAGTGAAGAAGAGCATAGGAGCATCTTCAATATCTGCTGCCAGTATTAAAATGATCAATTTAGTGGCACCAGACAAGAGACTACTGTTGGGGCAAAAAGTGTGTGTACTCCTTCCAAGCCAATGAGCATTCTGTATATGTGGAATGTATGTTAAATAAACGCCTTGTGAACAGCAACAGAAAAGCAAGCTGGAGAAGCTGTCTGTTGGAGCTTTTTTCAACTCCGCTGCCTCCATGCTTTCACATGCTTCCATTGAAGTTGACCTTTGTCAGTCAAAGAAGCTCATTGCCGACTCCAAGAGCAGCCGGAGCATCTTAATGATCTGCTGTTCTTCTGAGAAGTTGGTGATGTTTTCTCATCAGGATCCAATTTAAAGGTCTTTGTTCTGTTCTTGAACTTTGGAGCCAAATGGCAAGTTAGTTGATAGCCTTCCCTGTTTTGAGATAAAGAAGGATAAGGCTGCTGTGCCCGCCTACAGATGAAGCCCAGTGTGTTTTAGTGAGCTCATTTAAATACAAATACCAAACGCTATTGCTTATTAAAATAGGTTGTTCCCAGTGAGCAGGCTTGCTTTCTTCTTTTTCTTTGAAAAGTGCAAATGTGAAAACAACACAAGGAGGGGAAAAAAGTTCCTTTTCTGTAATTAGTGGCTTTAGTGTTCCCCTGTATTTAAATGGACTTTAAATAATGCAACAGATTGTAATTATCATTTTGGAAAATTGAGATAGCATTTAAAATCCTGTTAATAAGTCATTTTGATTCAGTAATCACTAGATTATAGGTGGGATTATTCATTACAATAGCAAAAGAGAACTGGTAGACTATGTGGAGAAAGAGACTGCTCATTGACTGTGTGAATGTTTACTGCCAGGCTGCTCCATAAATGCTTATTAATGTTAGCCCTTCTTGGTGCAATCTCTCAGAAGAGGAAAAAAATCTGCAATTCAACCTCCATTCCTTTCTATTCACCACACTTGTCAATCAGCTAGTTGCAGTATCTACAGGAATGGAGGTGTTATATTCTAGCAATTATCATGTCATATACTTGAAAATGTAAATGAATGTGTGTGTAAAATTAAATTTATGGGTTGTCAGTGAAGAATAAGAACCAGGAGAGCAATTACTTATCTGCTTTCATCTTTCAAGCTCTGATACATCAAGCAGAAAACCATGCAGTTAAATGCTGGAATTAGCATTGTACAGGTCTTAGAATGAATGGGCTGATGCCTTTTGCTGCCTTCTCTGGCTTTTTGTTTTGAAGAGCAATGAAATAAAGATGATTATCATCCATCACTCTGCTAAAAAGCTAATGAAAGCATGAAAGAAGCTTCTTTCCTACATTTGTTTTGGATTTTCAATCCTCTTTTGTCAGGATAGTTACCCCTTTGTGTTAATAAATATTATTTATCATTAGCGCCAGTGCTGTGTGTAAGTGCATTTCATAATAGAGATAAAATGCATGCTATGCTTTAAATAACATTTTTATTAAAATACTGGGGATCATCATGTATTCATCATATATTAAAATATTTGCGTTATATTGCAAATTAACATATTTGCTTATTTTTGTGTACATTTACATAATATATTAATATATTGTTTACACCTTTAAGGTATGTGCTGCAGTTGTACTTACCTTAAAATATGTTGATTAGGTTCTAAACAGTCTTTCAGCTTGCATACTGCCACCTACTTTCTGTTTTTTTTATCTATCATGAAGTGGCAGGCTTTGAGGCTTTGAAGCACCACAAATATAGAGCACTGGAATTATTTCTCAAAAACATTTGTGTTGTTAACATAGATTTGGAGGATTTTCGTCGGTTATCTTTGTACAGATAAAGTTTTAAAACACCTTTAATAATGAGAGCGTGAGATATTCCATATCTGCTTTTCATTGAGTTTTTAGGAGTCTAATGAACAATGGTACAGATTTGTTTGAATATGAATGTGCAGTGGGATGGAGTTTGACCTTCAGCTGTGATTTCAGTTCATCAGGATTAGTCAAGCTAGGCGATCAAGACTGCTAATGCATAATGACTTATAAAATGAAAAATGTGTAGTGACCATGCAAATGTTTCAGCTAATCAAAGAGGGGAACTTTAGCTTTGAGAGGAAAGAAAAACAAGGACATGTCAAGGCCTAAAGTGGAGATGTATGTAAAATAATCCAAGCAGCTTGATTAGCCTGACTGAGGTTAGAAATTTCTTATTGGCTTCTTAACATATGGTATGGTGTATTATATGTCGTAAACTTGCAAGAAACAAAGATTGAAGGAAGAGCTTGTTTTGAGCTGAATGTAAACTGAAAATCTTTCAATTATATCCATAATTCATTTAATTCATTTTTTCTGGCAAAAGAGCCTGTATTCCTGTCAGTGTTGAATGGAGACAATTTACATATTGTTACACTGGGATAAAATGGCCTGACATTTTAGGTACTTTAATAAACTGATGGTAAATTTCAGTTAAATATGTTTCGAAACAATGTATTAAATAAAATGTTCACTGCTTATTTATAAATCAATGGCATTTTACATTGAATTGGTTAGTTGTTTTGCATCTACAGTTCAAACAGAAAACAACTTTCTAAACTTATTTTTTATTGTGTGTAATGCTGTATGGTTGATTAATCATGTAGTCTTTACATTAGAATAATCTTTGACAGAGCAAAGACTTTTAACCTTCTATTTCTTTTTCCAGTGCAAATAATTATCTCCTTCCTTCATCCTTATTAAGTGACTTATTCTTTTAATTGTAAAAGCATGAGGAGCTGGTTTTTCATGATTGATGTATTGTTTATTAATTCTTCTAAAAATGATTGCGGATTCTTTTATTTTACCAATATCTAACAAGGAATGCAGTTGATATTAAGGGATGTTAGCTCTTTATTTAAAATAATGAAATGTGATTAAATAGATTAAACATCACAAAAAGGAAAAAAAATCTGCATCCTTATACTGTAATATTGTTTATGTTAACTCTTGATTTTGTTTAGAAAAGGCCATTATTTTTTACATAATTTCATTGACCAGTATATGCATTTGGAAATATGGCTAACCAGACAGTTTTTTTTTTCCTTATTGGCTTTTTAAGTGAAACACTGACTTTAAACAGTGTACATTATCTGCAACAGCTGTTGTGTACATTTCTGGGATTTCAAGCTCTGGCTCAGCATCTCTATGTTTAATAGTAAACAGTGAGAAAACATCAAAGGCACAGAAGTTTGGCTCAGAACCACAAAGCTAGCTGGACTGAATCTTCATTGGATTGGAGTAAGATTTATAATGCGCACTGATATTCAAGTTTTGTACTGAGAATGTAGAGTTTATGTGAGAAAAAAAGTCAAGGAAGACCAGAAACAGATACATTTAATCATCTTGGAATGGGTAAAAATATTCTTAGAATTATGCTTTATATTTCTGTGTTATGTACTTATATTTCTTATTTTAAACAACTAAATATTTTAGGTTTTAAGGGAATTTATATATTTCAACAATAAAAGCAGTAAGCATGTCTGTGAAAGCTTTTTTGAAATTAAAATTTAGCTGCAGTATATTTCAGAATTCCATATTCTTTTATCTTTAAATGAAATATTTTTTCCCCGATATCATTGGGAAAGGTGTTAGAAATCATAAAACCTGTCTCCGTGTGTTAGCTGTGATGAACCTCGCGCGGCTGATGCGATGCAGAGAGGGGTGTAATTTTCTTCTTTTGTTCACCAATTACTCCCAGCAACATTGCAGGGAAGTCAGTTTGATGTTATCTCTGTCTCCCTAAG